TATGATAAATCATGAAATTGAAATAATGTGAGGCGGACTACTGATATTGAGACATTGAAAACCAGATATATCAGGATCATAGACCGAGAAAAACGATCCATCAGATGCACTAGAACACTCTTTCTTCTTCAGTGATGTAGATAGAGAAGAGGAATTGAAATCAACTTTCAAACTCTTTGAACGTCACTTTCTTCCACTTTGAGTACCATCGGAAGTGGAATATAGAATCCTGTGTATGCTGTCAACAATTTATACGGTTATGAAAGAGTCATATGTATCTCATCATCTTCTCCAAAACAATGAAGAAAGAAGAACTCAATATTCCACGGCTCGGCGCTCGGCACACAAACTAAGAATCTTAACGAATATGATACACTGCGAGAAAACTCGGCCTAGTAAATTGTTTTCTTGAAAAAAAGTCGATTGTGACAAGAACATTTAGGCAAAACTATATTTCTGGAACGAAGTTTCTGCTGTAAGTGATCAGAACACTTGTTGGTATCAACCAAGTCGATATGTACCTATAGTTTGCTAATTCTAATTGAACACTAAACTAGTGCTAGGTTAACGAATACTCACTATTATTAAATTATTTTTCTGACATAAGATCACTTGCTCTGAGCGAACTCATCAATAAAGACAATCTATCAAGTCGATTGTTGCAGGTGACAGCTCACCTGTAGTTATAGATATCTTTTTCGTTCGGACATCTCCGATATTATTCGAGTACCCACGTCCAACGCGATCACTGTCCAGTGTCCACGAGTCCACGGCGTCATTTCGATCTTAGTATTCGTGAAGTTAGTATACTTGCGTTCCCGCTAGTAACATTGAAATTCCAAGTCATGAAAGTGCCCTTTCGAACAACTTCTATATCATATCCTTATGAGAATTCTCTGTTTGTGTGCCGTGCTCTGAGCTGTGGGGTGTTGAGTTCTTGATCTGTTCTCTTGAAGGAGATAATGAAATACAAAACTCTCCTAGAACAGTTCATAATTGTTTCTGCATATATACAGGATTTTTTTACACTTCCTATGATACTCGAAGTGGAAGGAAGTGACGTTTAAGAAGTATGAAAGTTGATTCATCTTCAATGCTGGAAGGAAAAAGATAGTTAACCAGAGTGCAGTGCAGTGAGTGAGAGTACCGTTTTTCTCGGTGCATGATATGCTGATATACGCGGTATCTAATATCTCAATATTTGTCGTCAGCCTTACCTTCTTTGTATTTTCTGGATTCATCATACCTATATAATAAAATGTTTTGAATGCATGTGTTTTTGTCTTTTTGCCAAGGTTTTATCATTTTCAGAGAACAATGGAGGTATTTTTTCATACTAGCTAATGACAAGTGAATAAGTCACTATCGACAAGTAAATAAGTCACTAATGACTAGTAGATAAGTCACTAATAACTTGTAATTAGGCCACTTATAACAAGTGAACAAGTCACTAATGAAAAGTGAATGAGTTACTAATGACAATTGAACAGGTCACTGATGACAAGTAATGTGTTCACTAACCGTTATCACTCTGAAATTTAATGGAACAGGTCAATAGTGGTAGGTAAACATTTTCAGGAACACAAATATTCTTGTGGTTATTAACTTGTTTCCTTGTCCCATATAGTATACAAGTTTTTACTTGCCACTATTGAATATTCACTTAGGATTAGTGATTTTTTTCTCCGTGTACAGCAGTTGTTCAGAAGGGCACTTGCATGACTTGGAATTTCAGCAATTGTACTAGCGAGAATAACGCATGTATACTCCACAAATGGTCGCGTTGGGCGTGGGCACCAGAATTTTTTTTGTCACTTGGAGCGCACGAAAGGAAATTCCTATAATGTTCGAAGATTATCGTGCGTTCCTAGGGAGGATAGGAACAGGAGGTTGGTATTGGAATTTTTTTGAACTTCTGGAGATTATATGTTGTTGGGAATACTTCCTCAGGCAATGAATTCGAACGGTGCGGTATGTAACCACAGGTGAGCTGTCACCTGCACCAATCGCTTTGATAGATTGTCTCCATAGATGAGTTCGCTCAGAGCAAGTGATTTTGTTTCAAAATAATAATGATAATGGTGAGTATTCATCAACCTAGCACTTGGTTAATGTTCACATATTATCAGCGACCTCAGAATACATATCGATTTGGTTCATACCAACCAGTGTCCTGATCACTTATAGCAGAAACATTGCATCAGAAATATTGTTTTGTCTATTCCAATTACTGTATTTTCCTACCGTTGGTGAAAATGTTCTTGTCACAATCGACTTCTTTCCATGAAGACTATTTACTTGGCCAAGTTGTCCCAGTGTTCATTGATGAAATCAGCCCTGGGTATATATTCAGCATATATATAGCATATGCAATATTAGCGATGAGGGTGAATCCTGAGAATACTTAAAAGGATATGATTCGAGCAAATCTGTAGCATATGCTACTCTTGGCCAAAAGCATACAGGGTGTTTCAGAATTGAATGTACACACGATGCCTGCTGATAGTGGACACCTAGGTGGTTCTGAATCATTTCCCATTGATGTGCCTATTGTCTGTTATAACTTGGATACAGGTTGTTCTCTTCATTTCGGCAAAATATTCGAGTGGTCAAAACTTTTGCACCACTCTGTATAATCTGACAATACTTGGTATACATAATCCACCTTTATTACACACCTATTACAACTGAATGGAAATGGAAATTAGAATCCAGGTCCGTCTTCAGAACAAATTCACTATTTCTTCAATTTCTAAAACATCACCCTGTACCTCAAATGTTTGCAGATATGTTTCTATATTTGGAAAGAGTGACCTCAACTTAGTGACGGTGCATCGAAGTGAGCATGGGTAACCGATAATATTAAAATCCTCATTTTGAAGTTCTGGCTCCATTTTAGGGCATTTATTGAAAACAATATCAATTATCTGATGGAATATCCCTAATAACACAATTATGCCCCATGGATATCCTTAGGACGTCCTGTCGGGACATTTAGGACGTTCATAGGACGTTCGAATTTGGTACCGTGGTGGACGTCTGTGGGACGCACTTGAGGACCAACTACGGACGTCCTTGAGGCATGTCCCTGGGACAACTATCGAGGACAACCTTCCAGCTACGCTAGGGATATCAATTGGGAGTCCATTGTATGTCCCAGGGACGGACTAATTATTCTTGAATTCGAATTTTTCTTGGTCACTATAGGACCAGATCTTGCATAACTGATGAGGACATCCATTTGAGTTGATGGTCCATAGAATCCCAGAAGAAGATTCCCAGGACGTCGATTGCCAAATCATCAATCTTTTGCCAACGTTTTTAATTACTCCACAAGCAATATGGTCGGTTTCCTACAGCTGTCCTGAATGAGCATCAAGTGAGGAAAAATTTGGGAGTGCAGGAAAATATTCTCTATATTGTTGCAAATAATCCCACATACCATTGTTTGGAAGTTTGGGAGACATTGAAGCGGAATCATATGCACGCATTCCATGTTCAAAAGGTTTATAAATTAGAAGCAGGAGATGAAATATATCGATCGAATTCTTGTAACTGGATAATCCGCAACAGAAGAATTGCGAACAGATGCCTTTTCACAGATGCTATACGTCTGACTAAAGCTCAATTCCTGTCAATGTTTGGTGTGGTGTTTTCAATAACCATTTGATTGAGCCACATATGCTTCCTGACAGGTTGACAGGTGAAGATTACTTGGATTTCCTGCAAAATATCTCACCCGTGCTGATAGAAGTTGAAAACATCGGGGGCATGTACTTTCAACATGATGGTGCCCCACCTCATTTCTGAATAATTTCGAGGAATTTCCTTGATGAACACTTTTCAAACAAGTGGGTAGGTCGCGGTGGACCTCATCTCTGGCCTTCACGACCCCCGGGTTTCAATCCGATTGATCATTCTCTTTGGGATCACTTGAAGTCGAAGGTTCACGAAGTTCAAATTAATTCAAGAGAAGAACTTTTGGAACGCATCAATGACGCTTGTGACGAAATAAGAAATGAGCCTAACGTCATTATACAAATGTAACCAGGGCAACCAATAGATCCAGACAATGTATTCAACAACACGGTGGGCATTTTCAACAATTATTGTAGTTTCCATGTATGCTTCCGCTTGGTTTCTCTCAAATTTTCCATCATCTCATGTTTGTATTGATGAAATTAATATGATTCTCGTTACTTCGAGAAAAATATTAATTTTTTGAATTTTCAAGACTGAATAAGTGGATGCGCGATCATTGAAACTAGGTTGAGAGATTTTTCTGCCATTCTCAAATATCGAGACTGATCTGCGAAAGTAAAATGAACAGGGTGTTGTTTTTGAAATTGAAATGATTGTGAATTCTTGAATTTTCAATGAATGCCCTAAAATGAAGCCAACACAAAATAGTGATTTTAATATTATCGATTACCCATGCCACATCGATGCGCGGTCACTGAATTGAGGTAATCTATACAATTTCGTATGCCCTTTTCAAATATCGAAACAGCTCTACAATATTTTGCTGTACAGGGTGTTGTTTTTAGAATTGAGGAAATTTTGAATTTATTCTGAAGACGTACCTGGATTCTGATTTCCATTCCTATTTAGTTCTTATCGGTAATGTAGGTGAATTATGTATACCAAGTATCGTTAAATTATACAAAGTGGTGCAAAAGTTATGACCACATGAATATTAGGCCATAATTGAGAAATCGTCCAGTATCTCAGTAATAAAGAACAACAGGCACATCAATCACAGAATCACCAGGGTGTCCACTATCAACATGCATCGTATGTACATTCAATTCTGAGACACCTTGTATGCTCAGTATATAGAAGCGAAATTGTGAGAATATTCTTGGAATATGATCTCAATATTTTTATACCGCTCAGAAATATGCTCGATATTTTATTTTGCTATGTGAGAATGTACTTCATTGAAAACATTTGAGTATTTATTATTGTTGATCAATTCCATGATGTGTTTTCATAATCATTCATACAAATTCGTGTTGTCTGCTGATGTTGTCCTTCACACAGAATGAAAAAATAGCTGCTACGAGCTGAAACAAGAATGTTATATCATTAGCACCCATATGATAATATATAACGAGTCAAAATGGAGTTATTTATGTTTACCTATATTTAAAAAGCGGCCATACACTTTTGATAAGCTTTTGGGACAAAACACAGTAAATTTTCACTTACTTCAACTAAAGCAACACCAATAGCGATTCCCCCAATTATTTTGGCATTATTCATGATGAAATCACGGAGTTCGTTGACACAGTTCTTAATATACATCACTTTCTGTTGTGTATCTGTATCTGAAAAGCAGCTTTCTATGAGTAATCCACTAGTGGCATTTGTGACCAATGTGTAGCTATTATCAATTCCACAACATTCGAACTAAAAAATAAATATCGAAGCTCAGTTCATCATTGAATTTCAAGAAGACACGAATAAATCAAGAATGCAATATCATTCTCCTTCTTCCAAAGGTGAATGTCGTTCCGTAGATTGATAATTTCATATTCATACATCATCTAGTATTGTGTTTTTTAGATACGAGAAATTGTTTTTCCTGATCGAAAGTATATAAATTGTTTAAAGGTCACAACAACATTATTGATCAATAATCATCAATTCGCTTCGCATTGATGCACACTTCAATCGAAAGTGTTTTTCTGTGTGATGTTATTGTCGATATTATAGGATATTATTTTCAAAATCTTGAACACATTCCTTCACATTTCCATCATCATTACAAATAATATTTTTTTGTGACAGGAGAAACGTTAGATATTTCATCAATGTTGACAGGTCATAAAATGTCACTTTTTATAAATTGTTGTGCTATAGTTCCGAAAAGTGAGTCAATAACACCGCGAGTCCGAGAGAGAAATGCAAGTCATTTTGTCTTTTATTCGACTTCGCGGTTACGTGAACTATTGAACAACCACTGAATTCGCAGTTTTAGAAAATCAGATAACAGAATTAGACTGACAAATATTTGATTACTCCAAAAGAATGATGAAGATGCCTGCACCGCAGGTGGCATTCCTGTTATGAACTTCAAATAGCACGTCGATAATTTTCTGATTTCTATATATAATGCAACAACTTCTCAATATTGATTCGTCTTCGAGATAATTTATTATACATGGAATAAAATATTAGAATCAAGCTCAGGGTTTTTTGTCTTCCTCCGCTACGCGTCATTGTGGTTATGCGACTAGTAATGAGGTATGAATTTTACTCATCAAGATGATTGGTCTGGTAGTACACCTGCCGCACTACCTGACCAATCAATGTATATCTCGCTCATGTTATATATACGGGCTCGCACACGTTACGCAAATGTCACGGATGCGTCGAAGAAACGTGAAAAGAATACCTCTCTGAAACATCACTCGAGCATCACGTAAGCGTCACGCGTGCGTCAACAGATTCTTCAGATGTAAAGTTTTTTACGTTTTTTCACTCTCTTCGACGTTTTGACCCATGCATGATGCTATTCGTATATTTGGCATCGGTGAGATAATGTATCCATTGATCTGGTAGTGCGGTAGGTGCACTACTCATCGACAACTGTTCTTTCGTCACACCAAGATACTTTACTCAATTTGAATGAACTCACATAACGTTGAAGTGTATTCACAATGTCAGCTTCTTCAGGACTGGTGAATATATTTTCATATATTTTTGTCAGATATGTTTTCACCTCCTCATCCAATTCTAAATTACCATTTTTCATTGCAAGGAAAGCTAGTACTATCAGTACTACTTGGAGAATGAATATCGTAACCATCACGTAGGCATACTGAAAAGAAGAATCATTATGTTAGTGGATAATTGAACAACATGAACTCTATACTCTTCAAGTCTATTCAGTCTCTACTGGTTCTTTGAAACAAGCACTTTCACCGTCAAACATCATAAATATTCATGTTTCTTTGAGAATTCGAGAGTATTCTTTTATTGTATAAAACAGTTACTGGAATTATCACTATTGCAGGCATTGATAATATTTGCAGCATATTTCACACTGGCTTCAAATGATCAACAACAATTTCCTGTAAAAAATCTGTGTTACATCATTCATACCTAGTTTGGGAACTATAAAGACCATGGAAAAACAGACACATTGACTAACTTGCTTTTTACATTTATTTTGATAGATTGCATTCTTTGCAAAGTTTGATAGAAAATTACCTTCAATATCCAGCATCAATTCTTTCATATAGGAATCTGTGAAAGAAGGGAATTCTGGTTCCTGTAATGCAACGAAATTAAGTGCATATTTCCATATTGTTAAACAATATCACAGTTTAAGTGATATTCCGTACAGGTTGTTTCGAAATCATATGTAAATATTTCGTGGACGTATTGTTGGGTACAAAATAAGAAATGTGTCCTGAAATCAAATCCCTCAGCTACTAGGACAGGAAGAAAATCTCATAGTGAACTCCATCAAAACTATTTCTATAAAAATTGGACCTGGGACATGTTTCGAAGTTTCAAAGCTTCATTATCAGCAGAAATTATTTGTTACAGGAAGAACTACAATGAGAAAGAAAAAACTACGCCAGACAAGTATTCAGATATTACACTTTCGTCTGAGACCAAGCTCCATCATGACCATAACCTCAAAGTAAGAGGCTTCACCATGGTCAGGGTCGATCGGCCTGGTACAGACAGATGCAGGAGGGGGTAGCCATCCTAATTGAGAACAATATTCCCCACACCGTGGTCCAACCAAGGCAAAGCTCAATCGAGCACGCAGGGGTGAGGCTACGGAGTGGGAAAATTATCTTCACAGCGTACAACAGGCCCAGGAACAGATTGACAGAGCAGGATCTAGAGGCGCTGGTAAGTGCTGCTATCAAGGTAATGATAGGTGGAGACTTCAATGCAAGGCATGCGGACTGGGGAACCAGGTCCAGAACAATATCAGATCGGGAGCAGACTGAGGGCATACCTGCAGGCCGTCAATGTCAACCTGGACTTCCCTAGCACTCCCACGCACTACCCCATCAATGGAATGTCACCGACAGTGCTGGATATAGTGCTGTCCAAGAATGTGGTGGATATCCCTGACCTCGGGGCGGTAGATCAGCTGAGCTCTGATCATCTGCCAGTTCTGTTTGAATTTGGAATACAACCCCCAGAATGTTTTTCAAAAATCTACGATTATAAAAACACGAACTTGCAGATGTCCAGAGCACATCTAGATCAAAGAACCGCAATCAAAAATAACATCAAAGTCGAAGAAATGAATGCTGAAATAAAAGCCTTCAATAAAAACATAAGGAAGAACTCCCGGAGAAGATTCTTGAGCTCATCGCAGGAAAGAAGATCCTGAGGTAACGCTGGCAACGGCTCAAAACACCAGAAGCCAGAGTCGCCTTCAGTAGAATCTGTAATGGAATTGAATACAGATTACGAGAGCTCAGGAACTCCTCCTGAAGAGTCAAGTTGAAGAGCCCGGACCCTCGTGACAATACTTTGTGGAAGATGATCAAGAGGCTGAAGAAGCAATTCACTCCTATCCCAACCATAGAATACGGTCACGAGGAACTGGTGTCATATCTGGAGAAGGCGGTAGTGCTTGGGAAACACATTCAAAAAATCGACATCGACAAAAATCCAACAAATGAAGTCCAGGAACACATGGTGGCAACGGCAGCACGCATAAGATCGCTACCCATCAGCCCGCTCTCGAGACAAGCCCTGGTCAAGTCAATAACTACCCCAAAAGAAATCAGAGAAATCATCAAATATATCATCAATAAAGCATGCACCAGGGCTTGATGGACTTGACATGGTTCTCCTGAAAAACATGTCTCGCAAAGCTGTTGTCCAATTGCATTACCTAATAAATGACTGAGCTTGTTGTACCCATCCCTGAACAGGGAAGAGACCTGAAATCAACTAATACCACCCTATATCTCTGCATAGCGCAGTAGCGAAGATCGTGGATAAGGTCCTCTCACGACTCATAACACGACACATTAAACAGCTGGACCTCATACCAAAGGAACAATTCGGGTTCCGCAAGTGATACAGCACAGTGTCCCAAGTTGCTCGAATTCTTCACTAGGTAGAGGAGGCCAGCAATAGCAACAAAAACACTGTTTTGGTCATGATGGACATAAAAAAGGCCTTTGACACCGTCTGGCACGGAGGTCTAATGTCCAAGCTGTATAAGGCCAAAGTGCCGATTTTTATCATCAGAGTCAAGATGCATATGCCACCAATAGGAAAATCCGGGCAACGAAAGTATATCAGGGAATTTTCCACTCGAGGCAGGTGTTTCGCAGGGATCTTGCCTTTCAACTCTGCTATACACCTTGTATACGCACGATTTTCCTATATTCGAGCGGACGAGCACAGCACTGTACGCAGACGATACTGCGATATATGCGCACTCGGCCGACTCGGATATTGCCAGACAGCAAATCCAGATTCATCTGGACAGGAGAATCGTGCCCTACTTTGACGAGTCAAAGATCTGTATGAACAGCTCTGAAACGGAAGTAATCAATCTCCATCAGAAGGTCAATGATTCCAAGCTGAACCGACCATTGACCGTCAAAGGGGTCGAGGTGAGGGACACGGTCACTGTGAAATACCTGGGAGCTGAATTGGACACTCGTATAACGTACAGGTCTGATACCAAATATCTGATACAAAGAACTCAAGGTGCCATCAAAAAAATGTACCCGCTGTTATCCAGGACCTCTCCACTATCTGTGGAGAACAAGATCCTGGTGAACTAGCAAGTTATTAGACCTGTGATGACGTACGCGTGCACGGTGTTCTGCAGCATCCCAACAACACACATGAACAAATTTCAGGTGCTGCAGAACAAAGTTCTCCGTATAATCACCAACGGTGATCGATACTCGTGAGTGGCAGATCTTCACGAGGGATGTGGTAATTTGCCAAGAATCAGAGACTTCATTATTAAAACGACCAACGAGTTTCACAAATACCACATCGCTGTAAGTGACCATACTCGGAAATATAACACAAACAAGACAACACCACAACATACCTAAAAAACACAGGCTGATATATGCATCAACTACTGTTCTTGCAGATCCTGGAAATCTATAGTCGGGAATTTCCCCGGACCATCGCAGCGAAAGCGTAGCTCCGGTGAAGATCTAGACACCACAATTTCTCAAGGCATGAAAATGAATAGTGGAGGATCCCACCCACAGTGACGATCCGACACTGAACTCGATCAATAGCGCACGTGCTCCCTTGCCCGACACTGGCCCACAGGGGGGCGGGCCGATAGCTTAACGAGCAGGATGTTCTCGTTTTTTGCAACCTTTCATTTTTCTCCATCTCCCTTCAAAGCACTCATCACTGATAGCGACTGATCAGCTCCCTCACCCTCATGGGTAACCTCGGCGAGATCACCTATATAAGGGGCTTGGCCCCAGGAGATAGGCCTCTGAGACTAACACTTCACAAATATACCCCCGTTCCCTGGCCAACACCAGTCACCTCTGCACCACGCGGAGGACTCATCACAGAGCCCTGAGCCCTAGTAATATGTTTCTTTCTGGAATGTGCCTGTAAATTTGTGATTAACTGTAATTTATGCGGACAATAAGACTCTTTGATACGTTCCCTAGTAATATGTTTCTTTCTGGAATGTGCCTGTAAATTTGTGATTAACTGTAATTTATGCGGACAATAAGACTCTTTGATACGTTCGATATCTGAAGTGAAGCAATGTCGAGCGCGGTCAGTACTTGGATGGGTGACCATTCGAGGGAACGTTGCGTGAGCCCGCACATTGGTGGCGAAATAGCATATCAGAGCTACCGCTACCATATCAATGAGCACAAGATATGGTACGGATATGCCTTCCTTCGGAGGGGGCGTTGAGCCGGCGGTCACGAGGTCATGGATGTTGGACTCGTTAAAGATCCCCACCTCTGGTTGGAACACCAGAGGGTTCGGCAAAATTTCCAGTTAAAGGTAGGGTACTCACCGGCGTCGGTGATAAACCTCAGTAGCAGAATGAGGCCAACGTTGAAGAAACAAGGAGGAAGATTGTTTTCGATTTATTAAAATGATCTAATAACCATTGACATAGGAGGGCAATTCACTGTATTTGCCGACGATACCACTATTATATGGAGCAATAAAGAAATTACGCAGCTTCCAAATATGATTCAAACAGATGTTCAAGAAATTCAAACCTGGTGTAACTCAAACTAATAATGCTTCAACCTAGACAAAACAAATCTAGTAACTTCCAAATGTACACTAGATGATTCAAAATTAGAGAACCACTACATAGAAAACAAACAGCACACTAAATTCCTAGGAATTTACATAGACAATGAATCAAATTTCAGAGAACATGCACTGAGAAAACTCGGCCAAGTAAATTGTTTTCTTGAAAAAAAATCGATTGTGACAAGAACATTTTCACCAACGGTAGGAAAATATGGTACTTGCAGTAGGCAAAACTATATTTCTGGAACGAAGTTTCTGCTGTAAGTGATCAGAACACTTGTTGGTATCAACCAAGTCGATATGTACATTAGAGTTCGCTAATTCTAAGTGAACACTAAACTAGTGCTAGGTTAACGAATACTCACTATTATTAAATTATTTTTCTGACATAAGATCACTTGCTCTGAGCGAACTCATTAATAAAGACAATCTATCAAGTCGATTGTTGCAGGTGACAGCTCACCTGTAGTTATAGATCTCTTTTCCGTTCGGACATCTCCGATATTATTCGAGTACCCACGCCCAACGCGATCACTGTCCAGTGTCCTCGAGTCCACGGCGTCATTTCGATCTTAGCATTCGTGAAGTTAGTATACTTGCGTTTCCGCTGGTAACATTGAAATTCCAAGTCATGCAAGTGCCCTTTCGAACAACTACTATATCATATTCGTATGAGAATTCTCTGTTTGTGTGTCGTGCTCTGTGGCCGTGCTCTGAGCTGTGGGGTGTTGAGTTCTCGATCTGTTCTCTTTAAGGAGATAATGAAATACAAAACTCTTCTAGAACAGTACATAATTGTTTCTACATATATACAGGATGTTTTTTCACTTCCTATAATACTCGAAGTGGAAAGAAGTGACGTTTGAAAAGTATAGAAGTTGATTCATCTTCAATGCTGGAAGGAAAAAGATAGTGAACCAGAGTGCAGTGCAGTGAGTGAGAGTACCGTTTTGCTCGGTGCATGATGCTGATATACGCGGTATCTAGTATCTCAATATTTGTCGTCAGCCTTACCTTTTTTGTATTTTCTGGATTCATCATACCTATATAATAAAATGTTTTGATTGCATGTGTTTTTGTCTTATTACCAAGGTTTTATCATTTTTCAGAGAACAATGGAGGTATTTTTTCATACTAGCTAATGACAAGTGAATAAGTCACTATTGGCAAGTGAATAAGTCACTGATGACTAGTAGATAAGTCACTAATGACATGTAATTAGGTCACTAATGACTAGTGAACAAGTCACTAATGAAAAGTGAATGAGTCACTAATGACAATTGAATAGGTCACTGATGACAAGTGATGTGTTCACTAACCGTTATCACTCTGAAATTAAATGAAACAGGTCAATAGTGGTAGGTGTACATTTTCAGGAACACAAATATTCTTGTGGTTATTAACTTGTTTCCTTGTCCCATATAGTATACAAGTTTTTACTTGCCACTATTAAATATTCACTTAGGGCTAGTGATTTTTTTTCTCCGTGTGTAACCCATTTGAGTAAGAAGGTTTCTAGTGGATGTTATGCAATAAGAGTGATATCAAATGAGCTAGGGTATGCTACTAGAATGGCTCACTTTGCATTGATCGAATCTCATATTCGCTATGGAATAGCTATCTGGGGCCATTGTAATTTACAGTTACTAAATACAATATTTGCACTTCAGAAGAGGTCATTGAGATATGTTACAAAGTTTAAATCGAGAGATCACTGCAAGCCTCTATTCATTAATAATAAAATATTAACTGTCACCTGTCAATACATAATGAAAACAGTATGCTCAATTCATAAAAATAAAACTAGCATGTACACTCCTGAAACAAATTGTCACAATACCAGACAGAATCATATGCTTTATTCACCTATTCCTGAATTTGCTTTGACAAAATATTCTCTGAAATATGAAAGTATCAAAGTATACAATCATCTCCCCATTATTCTGAAAAATATCACAAGTAACAAAACATTTCGAAGTTCAGTTGAAGATCTTCTAATCGAAAGAGCCTTTTATTCGATCTATGAATTCTACTGTGAATACCTGTAAATTATTATTACTTGAACTTCAAATATTTGCCTCAACGCAACTATGTTCATTAATGTTTGGTTTGTGAAATTCTGTTGTTTTTTGTTATTTTTTGTTTGTATTTCTTATATTCTTTGACTTGTATTTATTATTTGTAAATTTCATGCTTTGTCACCAAGATCTTTTATCTTTGACAATAAAGTATAATTTGACTTGACTTGAAGTAGAATCAGATGACGTGCTGAGACATATGAACAATTTCCTGTTCCAAACTCTCACAATTTATCGTGATAGTTAGATACATATCTAACTGGTAAGAGTGAAATATATGGCTAATCTGATTTTTCAAATTATATATTTTTCATTGAGAAGAACGTTCTGTTTATAGACACTCTGAGACATGTTCATTCTCAACATATAAATAGATAGATTCTTCATTGTTCACGAAGACATAACAGTCCTATAGCAAGGACTTTGAGGTGTGATATCTGCGTATTTCATTGCTTGACTTTAGTAAGTAGTTGACTACAATAATTATTGCATTATTTTTATTAGATGTCATAAGATGATGAAACATTTTGATTATTTTGTTTGCTATAAGAATATCATTCTGCAGCACTTATCTTTATAATAGAGTGAATATAATGTAAACGAACATGAACAAATAATAGAGCATAGGTCAAACAATCCAAGGATAAGGACATTCTATTTTTGCCATTATAAGTGGTCTATGGGTATTGGGCAATCAAGACCAGTAGTGAGAAGAACTCGCCATCAGGTGGAAGATAGCATGAAAAATTGTGTGTTCTAGAGCCTGTAGTGAAGAAATCTGAATACATGTTCAATTTACGTACCGTTGATAGCAGGCATCTACTTTCTTTTATCGCTCCACAGCATCCAAAAAAGGCGATGAGTGCAATTACGACACCTACTACAATAGTGTATGTACTGACAGATAGTACGTCTAATCCCACATTATTTACTTTATATAATACACCTACTGCTATCAACCCTGCTGCTGCAGCCTGAAAAAAATGTGAAATTGTTGAATTGTGACAAACTCAGAAAGTAATGAGGGCTAACATTTTCACTCTCATCAATTGGCGCTACTAAAACATGAGGTCAATGTTAAAGTCAAAAATCTAAAAATTTGGCTGGATAGCCTTCAAAGCTATGGCCTGTTTCATCGAGAATATTTGATGAAAATGATAAGGAATATTTGAACAAATAGAGAACCTCAAGTGCTCGAAAGACGTGAGCCGTCATAGCAAAAGACTAGATGACACGAAAATGGAGAGTATATTTATCAGTTCTATCGACCTTGACCTCATGTGACGGTAGCAGTTTGGTGGACAATAAAAAATGTTGGCCCTCATTAGATACAAAGTGAACCATTTTCGTCTCTTAATTGAGATCACGAATATCGCTAAAAATATAATGAAGAATGAATCGGTGACCAGAAAAAATTCATCAGAAAATCTGTATGAAATGCAAATATGTTTCTATTTCTAGGAAGGCAAAATCTTGTTCGTCTTCATTGGTGAGATATAGCTCACATGACAGAATATCTTCTCGGAAAATGTTACAGACTCTTCAATTGTATTGTGGATTTATTTTTATGAAAGAGTGAATAGTTCGTGATAGGAATGTTGATTATCTTGATGTATCGAAATAAAAATGAGTATCATGACTTTTTGAGTATAATTAATTGTGAAATCAGTGCCAGGTTAGCCGCATGGTTGAAGCGTCAGTATTCTATTCACGATGGATTGCCGGTTGGTGGTTTTCATTTTACGACTGCAGAATTTTTTTGATGGCCTGAAAGAGTGTTTGAGATCAAACGTTAAAAGGTGAGGCCCCCGTCATTCCTTGCTCGCACAAGTCTTCCGGAGACATCTGAGGGTTGCTCGTAAGGATGCGACAGGATAAAGATAGGAACAATTTCAGAACAACTTCAGAATTTTTTCAGAACGATTCTAGAACAATTATACACCCACCGGCAAATTACCAGCCAGCAAAAAATTTTGGCTGATTGATCGCACTGTAACTTTTTCAATTCTTGGCCGATTATGGTGAAAGTTCAACCAAATTGTAGATTCATGTTCCTGAGTATCAGCCTGAATTCCAATATTGAAACAAGAGCTCATTAAATGATCATAATACAGGGAGGAACAAGAGTTTCTCACACCCGTAACTTCTTAACGCTCTGTTGCTCAGGTGAGTGGTTGAACATAGCTTCATCACGTCCAGGATGCGTGATCCTCTCCCAACTCAATGGTTTTCAATTCACGTCAATGTCTTCTTCACAATAGTATCGAAAAATACGAAATTCTACAATAGGTATCGAGGACAATTCATAGCCGATTCCCCAAACCTCTGAATCATCATGTTTTTGATATTCTGTAATCCCTTGTCGTTTCTTTCTCAACACAACGGTTCTCGATTAACGTGAATATATCTTCTTGAAGAAGAGTTACAAGTGTTTCAAGATAGTATGGAATTGTTCAATTTTCATCAACAACTAGCTGACCCGATAAACGTTGTTTTGCAATATGCATTATTTCTAGAATATACTTTTTCAGTTGAATATTCAACAACACACTTTTAACATTTTACTTCCAACTTCTCGTTAGTATGACTAGCCATGAACTCGTATCTTCATAGTAATTCGAACTACTTTCGATTTTAAACTTCTGTTCAGTTCATTCATTTATCTCTTCAGTATTTCGAACTACTTTTCACTTTCTATTTCTTTCATGCTTCACTATCCATGAAAGCGTGTTCCATTAGTTTTTCAAAACACTTTCCATTACGAAGGATGTTCGACATATTAAATCAGCTGTGTCGATTTTTTCAATTATGACAGAGAAACCGTAATCTCCGACTCCCCAAACCAATATATACAAATTTTGACAAGAATCGGAACATAATGATTGGATCCGCCATTTCAAATTCATCAATTCTGACGAAATAATCATAATTCCTTACCCCGAAACAGATACCAATTTTGAATAGAATCGAATCATGATCACAAAGATCGTCCGACATATTGGATCCGCCATATTGAATCTCCTCATTCCGACGAAAGAATCATTATCAACGACCCCGAATCTTAAAATTCACATTTTGAATAGAATTGAATCATAATTTCAGGAATCGTTTGTCATATTAGCACTGCCATTTTGAAATTTCGCAATCATTTTGACGCAAGAATCATAATTTCTAACCCCGAAAATCCCAACATACTAATGTTGAATGGAATTGTATCATAAAAGCTAGGCTCTGTAGTATCTCGAGTTTAGTCTTTAGATTCAACTCCGTAATTAAACACAGTCAATGATACGTAACGGCCTTTATTGTGCCATGCTCTTACAACTGACAAACTATCATTTTTTAGTGTCTCTTTAACAACTACCAGAACTCAATATACTGAGCGCCCTACATCTCTGCTATCATCCCTTCACTAGCAATACCAATCAGACGAACTAGACAAGCCCAGTCAGCACATCCTTTCGTTGTCAACCTCTAAAGATGTCGAACAGCACTTTATCGAGACTCCTCCATCCATAGAACGGCTGGGCTCTGGAATGCATTGCCTGTGGAAGTATTCCCAACAACATATAATCTCCAAAAGTTCAAGAAAAAAATCCAATACCTACCTCCTGTCCCTATCCTCCCTAGGAACGCACGATGCTCTTTCAACATTATAGGGATTCATTTTCGTGCGCTCCAAGCGATAAAAAAAAACATCTAGAAATAAACATCAGAAAATAGTCAATTTCAATTCAACACGTAGTCCTCGAACTTCACTGGTGATCGGCGATTCCTTTGGAAACGTGTCGGATCTTGTAGGGGTTGCGGCTCGGATACAGTACTGGTCTGACTAGAAGTTGCCTTGGAATGCATTTTGTCGTGCTATTGGACGACTTATTCGATTCAGGAGTAATGTCATCATGATTCAAATCATCCAGATTTCTAATTTGGATCTTCTGAAAGAAAGAGGAACTCCTTTTTATTAGCTATCTGCAGTCACACATCTTCCTTCTTTCCATACAACTGTGTGTTTCACAAGTGAAAATGGCGTGGACATTTTGTTCATTTCATGTTGACGTAGCAACACTTGATCTCCTGATACAATACTTCTGGGTTTTGCACGTCTTTTGAAATCTGTGTGACTCTTTCCTGAATTGTTTCGTTTCAAATGTGTTTTATCCGTCATTCGGTTGCCCCCTCAAGAGCAACCCTGAGAAGTCTTCAAGAGCAAGGAATGACGGGGGCCTCACCTTTCAACATGTGATCCCAAACACTTTCTTGGGCCATCAGAAAAATTTATGCAGTCGATTGGAATCGAACCCACGACCAGCAAGCGAATGCGGATTAAAATATTGACACTCTGTCCGCACGGCTATCTGGCCCCTGTTTCCTTATTAGCTCTATCTCTGTCCCTTATTTCTTCATCCTAAAAATTTTTATCGTGAATGTTCATTTCAGGTAGCTTGGTTCGAATCATCCTTCCTCTGAACACATCTCCAGGTGGAAAGCCTGTCGTGGTGTGTGGTGTGTTGTGTGTGGTGTGATACGGTACGCTGCAAGATATACCAACAATTCCCATTTCCAGTCCAGTTTGAGAGCTTTTGCAATGCGTAACCGGCGAAGAACACTTTCATTCTGCCTCTTCACTTCTCCGTTGGTTTGTGACCAGAGTGGTGTAGAATGCCTCAGAGTGATACCATATTTATTGGGGAATTGCTTGAATCCACCATCGATGAAAGCTGGTGCATTATCACATGATAACATTTCCATAGGACCTTCTCGACAAATTACTGGTAGTAGAGCCTTCATGGTGTTTTCAGCTGATGGACTTTTCACTATTTCTACTTCCAGATACCTGTAATAATAGTCAATGATGAGTAATAGGTGATGACCTGACGATAAAAGACCAAATAAGTAGTCAATGAAAACCAATTCCCACACTTTAGAAGGCAATTCTGTTATGCGACTTATGGCTCTGGAAGTGAAGATTTGCGTACCAATCTACATCCTCCACAGGTATCAACCCATTAGCCAACGTCTTTATCAAGACTAGGCCACCAGACTTTGGTCCTTTGGCTTTCATTCCACAGTATGAAATATGTTCCTCATGGGCAAGCTCTCGAGCTCTTGAATGGAGCGACAACGGCAGAACGATGCGGGTACCTCGAAGGATGAGTTCATTCACAATACATAGCGAATGCTGAATAATTTCAAAACGTTTGAGCTCCTTAGGCCACTTTTTCATTCGTATTGCTATTTTCATATTTGACAGTTTAGAATCGTCGATAGTTTTCAAGCGTACTTAATCAATTGACAAGGCTGTAGAAACTGACATATCCATGGTATTGAGCAAAATTTTCTCTTATTCATTTTCACTTTCAGTTGGTGCCTTTTTAACATCTAAGAGTCTCGACAGCAATTTTATTTTTGCCAGGTTTGTATATCACTTTGAACGTTAACCGTTGCATTCTTTGAACACATCTTTGGATTCGTGCACTAGACTTATGCTTAGCAGAATAGATTATCTCAGGAAGCTCATGATCCGAAATTATTTGGAACTGTTTTTCTATCAGATACATGTACAAATGCTCACAGGCCCATATAATAGCTAGGGCTTCATTTTCTGTTTATGAGTACCTTTGCTCAGTTTCAGCTAGAGATCTACTGGCATATTTGATGACCCCTGGTTGACGTTCACCTCCTATCAGCTGGTGTTGGATTAGTACTGCTCTCAAACCAACTGAACTGGCATCAGTTACAAGCGTTGAGGGAGAATTCTCAATATATAACCCTAGTACCGTGAAAGCAAGTATCCTATCCTTCAATTCTTGGAAAGACCTGTGCTGTTCGGTAGCGAGTATCCTATTCTTCAATTTTTGAAAAGACCTGTGCAGTTCGGAGTGGCTCACTAATAGTACTGAAATTGGAAATGAACTGTGCTGAAAAATTCACAAGTCCCAAAAAACTTCTCAATCCTCCTCTGTTGGCTGCTGGTCTTAAATCTTTGATGGTTTGTTGGCTGGAAGATGTAGGTTTGATGCTTTGCGGTGATATTTGGTGCCCAAGAAACTTGATTTCTCGCACTCCGGACACACTTTGCGGGTATAAGTGTGATTCCCCTTAGCCGAAAGCGGTTGAGTACTAGTTTCGAACGATGATCGTGCTCGACTTTCGTTCGACCACCTATTCGAATATCATCCTGAGAGTTCGCAACACCATCAATTCTTTGCAGCAAATGTGCTATAATTCTTTGGAACATCTCTGGGGTGCATCTGATTCCGAAAAGTAGCCTTTTCATGTCGATATAACCCCAGGCTTCTGCTGAACAAGGTGATGTCCCGTGAGCTTTTATCTAAGTCTATTCGATGGAATGCCCACCTGATATCAACACATGGGAAATATCGGCAGCCATTCGAGTCTTGTGATTGCTCCTCAAAGGTAGGTAAAGGGAACCTTTATCGTTTGATGGCCTCATTTGCTCTTCGCATATCAACAACTAGGCGGTATTGTCCTACTCTTCTGTTTTCACCAAATGAGATGGCGACACACAAGGTGTTGGGCCTTGAACTGTTTCTATTATATCACTCTCCAGTAATTTCTTGAGAGGTGTTTTTTTCATCACGTTGACTATAGGGCAATCTACTTACACTTCGAGCTACCAAAGGCACCTCAGGATTTATCAGGATTTTGAGCTTGAAATCCCTGAGCTTTCAAATACCATGAGAATATCAGCTGTATTCCAACTTGTACCTGCCTGAATAGCTTGAGCTACTACGATAGGACCTATTTTCAGCAGGTCGATAGCCATAGATTCCTCACGCCCTAATGAGGATTGTCCCCTTCCCTGTTTAACCAAAATAGAAGCATTGACCTTCTGACCGCTTCCAGGTGACATTACGTCTGCCTCAAATACACCGATAGTCTGACGTATTCTGTTTCATCAATAATGTTAGTTGAGGCACCAGAATCGATAAGAAATCTTGTACTGATATGATTATTGATGAGCAAATTGAAAGTATTTGGTATCACCGTCTCAAAGGCGAAAACAGCATTTCCTTCATCTTGGTCTTCAACTTCCCCATCTGAGTCTTTTTCTCCCACCATTACATACTGTACTTGTCTTCTCCCTTTGATCCTTCCACTCTGCTCGAAAGCTTTTTCTTTCTTTGTTTTACATTGGGCTATGAGATGCCCACAATCTCCACAAAATGTATTCTTTGCTGGACAACTTTTACTCTTCGCAATGTGACCTCGACAGCCACATCTATAACATCTGGACTCAGAAAGAAAATATGAATTCCTGGTTTCTCCCAACTTAATTCGATTGACTTCCTGCGTAAGGACCTCACTTGAACATAATTTCTCTTCTCCAACTCCCATATCCTCGCTTCTACAAGAGTTTCTTGTGAAGTCAAAGTACCTTTCTTCAGTAAGTTCAGGGTGATTACATTTTTCGATTACATGATCTCTTATCTGTTCATCATGGGAAGACCCAAAGTTACACTGTGCTTGTTTATTCAATCTTACGAAAAACTGTCTGTCTACAGTTCCTTCCGTGGAAATGCATATATTTCTAAATATTTGCCTTTCATAAATTACATTCTAGTTCTGCCTGATGCAATAATCTTGACAACTTTTGGTGGAAAGTCAGACCTGACTTCTACATAATATTAAAACTTTCGTACCCATACTCTCCATCTAAGACCTATTGTAGATGAATCTGCTTGTACATCGAAGGGAGGAGTATCTCTTGAGGTCATTTCTGTAGCGGAATCTTATTGGAACGTGATTTGATTCTCCTACGTGGTTAGGAAAATTCTCGTCAACAATTGAAGTATCTCGAATTTAGTCTTCAGATTTAACTTCGTATTCAAACACAGTCGTAACATACATACGTAACGGCCTTCATTGTGCCATGCTCTTACAACTGACAAACTATCATTTTTTGCTGTCTCTTTGAAAACTACCAGAACTCAATATAGTGAGCACCCTACAGGCTCGTCAGCCATATTGGATACGCTATCCTAAACTCAATAATTTCGTAGGATAAATCATAATATTCGACCCCAAAAACCCTTATATAACAATTTAAAATGAAATTGTACTAAGATTATCAAGCTCTTTCGCCAAATTGGATGTGCCATACTGAATTCACATAATGGAACGGAACGAATCAGATTATACCTTTTTAGGAAAGCTGTTCGCCGTATTGGATTCATCATCTTGAATTTCGAGAGTTTGAGAAAATAATTATGATCTCCGACGCCAAGAGCACGCAGATAAAAATTTTGAATAGAATTGAAACATAATTACGAATCCCGTCTGTTATAATGAATCCACCATCTTGAATCTATCAATTTTCACGAAAGAATTATAATCTCCGACCTCTAAAACCCATAGATACAAATTTTAAATAGACTCGGATCATAATATCAAAACTCGTCCGCCATACTGGATCCTTGATCTTGAAATTAGTGATGAATCAAGAAATCCCACATTTGAGACAGGATTCAATTCTTGCTGATATGAGTGCATCAGACTCGATCAGAATTGTCATGGCACACTCAGATGGAAAGTCAAAAATGAAATTGAAATCAATATTGAAGTTTCAAATGCCACTTATGTGGTATCATTGGATTGAAAAAATGATGCAGAATTCTGAAATGCAAAGATATAGAGGTTGTCCCGTTTGAAAATCAAAAATTATCACCATTTCCAAGGAAACCGGAAGTGGAAAATTCATTCATTCATGTCAAGACGTGACGTTTATCAAATGGATGGGCAATTCCAAATTTCAATCGATTTTCACTGGACCTAAAGGAGAAAAAGGGAGTGTACAATTATCCCGTTACACCCGGTATATAGTTATTTTCAACCTACTGTAGAAGTCCATGTTATCCCCAAAGTGGAGTGAAGAAGTTAATATATAATAATACTCCAAGTCGTCTCCACAACGTTTAATATCATCAAACATCAAATCATAGGAAGGAGACATGTTTCGGGTCTATAGGGTATCCATCATCAACCGATTGAGAAAATTATACTACAAAGAACAAACAAGGTAACAATGGTAAAACATGATAATAGTACTCACGTAGAGCACCTTGAGAACTCGTCAAGTTTCCCTTCTTGGACTTGACATTTGATTTTCACAACTGCGCGTTCTTAGGACATCGGCATCCATTAGTTGTGGAGATGACATTGAGCTTTTCTTCTTCCTTTCGAAAGATTTTACTCCACTTTTACTCCAGCAAACATGGACTTTCACCAGAGATCAATATCCATAATGTTTTGCCTGACACAACCTATTATTCTGTTGCCTCCTCAATGCTGATTATCCCACTAATAACAGTATTGTCATCTTGCTATTCATTTTATTTATCTATTAGGTTCGAGGCTAGGTGGTAAGGTTTGAGGTTTGTGAAAATTCAATCACAACATACTAGGTTCGCATCTCCACCGGAGTGTGCTTTTCTTCAATATTCTACTCGTTCAATATACTAGGAATATTCTCAGAATATTCAGAACAGTTCATGGACTTTCACCAGAGATCAATATCCATAATGTTTTTCCTGACACAACATATTCTTCTGTTGCCTCATCAATGCTGATTATCTCACTTATAACATTGTTGTCATCTTGCTATTCACTTTAATTATCTATTAGGTTTGTGTCAAGGTGGTGGGGTTTAAGGTTCGTAAAAATTCAAAAACAACATACTAGGTTTGCATCCTCACCGGAGTAAGCTTTTCTTCAAAATTCTACTCGTTCAATATACTAGGAATATTCTCAGAATATTCAGAACAGTCCATTTCGAATGTTCATAGAAATTTCCCAGAATATTTGTTACACATTGTGGGAATATTCTGAGAATGTTCAAATATTCTCTGAGGAAATCCTATGACATTGTGCTATCTGGGCAGTAATCCACGGTAGTACTGCCCAAATATCATATACCCGGTTCAAGTTCTTGGAGTCCAGAGTATAATCGGGTTTGAAAGACCTGCATCAAACAATAATGACAAAATATCGATATCAACCATGAATCGGTCGTCACCACAAAACGATACTACTCCACAGTGATCCAGCTACATAAACGATGAAATAGTCAAAATACTCTTCCGAATGCACATTTCTGGTTGAGGAAATGAATTATCATCTGAATTTTTTCCCCACACATCTACTAGTATATTGTTTGTATTTTGAATCCTGAATTGAACGTTGGTGCTATTTTTGAACTGATAACAGATGTTATTGGATTATCATTTTATCGTCACTCTAATTCACCTTTCCATATCTTTATGGTCCCTAATTTCCTACTAATTATAATTATATAGATCTGTTGACTGTAATTTCATCACAAAGGATCATAATTTGTATATCATGGTTGTGGAAAAAATTATTTATGACAACCTTCATTTCAATGCAGTGGAGAGCTGACGAACGGGTTACGTGGAGAACATGTTTGGGATTGATATTGATTGACATTGTATACTTGAGTTTCTTAACGGGATTTCATACATATATAAGTAATAACAAGTTTAGAATCGCCACAACTCTTATTCCTCAGAAAATTGATCATATTAGTCATATTTAGTATGGCATGAACGTTTCATAGAATTTTGTAGTAGATGGTAGTATCCGTACTTACCGTGAGTAATAATGATTCATTGATAATCAATTTCCTAAGAACAAGCTTATTAAGCCAGTAATTGAAGGAAGCATTCATTGAGCAATTCAAGTCGCATCAAATTGAATTTTATCATACATTTTGAAAATTGAACTAGTTCAAAACACAATCTGGAGGTCCAGGATCCTCATTCTACTCACCAGGATGAGAAAGTTGAATAAAAAGAGAATATATCTTGCTATACCGCTCAAGCAACCCATCATTAGTATATTATCAAATATCTGAAACGTTCAGAGAAATGTATTTACTCGTAACTTGGCCAGTGGGTTTAGAAGCACCGTTTTTCACTATGTTTCTGATACACGCTGAATAAACTCAATGACGAAATTTTATCAGACAAAATGTTATCAGTACGTATTCAGCGTAATCATCGCCAAATGATAGTTTTTTAAGATCTTCTCAGATATCATTCCAGTAGCTGGAAAAGGATCATCGAAGCCATTTATTTATGATCCCTTATACCTAACTCTCATCAACCAGAGTTATCATTCGTTCGCTCAAACGAAGTAGTATGCTCCTTTCGTATGTAAACAATCGAGAGTCGACATGATGGTTCTTCTGGGATGCGCTCGAGCATGCTCTAGAATATTTTATATCATTCTCGAGGATTTCCAATATTTCTGAAATATTCCTCTGAAACGATCTTCAAGTTTCTGGAAAATCTTCGAACATTCTTCTAGATTCTTCAAATATTTCGAACAAGCTTTGCACCTTGAGTGCTCGTCAAGTATCCCTTCTGGGACCTGACTTTCGAGTTTTATAAGTGCGTGTTCTGAGGGCACGGAGCTCTTAATTCTTAATGAAAATACATTTATTCCCCAACAATATTTATTATTAATAATAATCACGATATCATGATGTCAGAAATCGGCTTCCTTTTTCAAGAAACATATAATGTTCACCTCCATTAACTTCTAGAATACAGCTGAAGATGGACTTTCATAAGTCCGAAACATGTTCCTTTGATTGACTAGATCATTATTGATGTTGTGGAGATGACTTTGAGCTTTTCTCCTTCCTTTTGAAATATTTCACTCCACTTTGAGCAAACATGGACTTACTTCTACCAGAGATTATAGTATATTCTTGGATCTTGGATCTTATCAGCATATTCAGAATCAATCTGGCCAGCTGAGGCTACTTCAGCATTTGAACTTCGTCTGTCCCACATTAGTAGGTATAGAGATAGTTTAGACTGATAAGGAACGTATATTGAGGTTGGGTTTGGGAGTTAATATGGGGATAAGCTTCGCAGGGGGCATAGTCATAGAGGGGGTGGTGAGGCGATGCTTGAACTGAATTGGACCGAGGTGGAAGCATTGTTGTCATCGAATCTTGGAATTATATTGTCTGATGAATTGATCTGGGTATTCATATTCAGAAGCGATTGATTTTATAAATGATGATGATGGGTTGAGCCTGCTGAAGGAGGCGGGGCCATAGTGGAGGTGATGAGTTGGTGCTTGAACTGGATTGAACGTATGCGGGGGCATTATTGTCATTGGCTCTTGGGATGATATTGTTTGATGAATTGACTTGAATATGATAACTTGGAAGCGATTGATGATATAAGACGGAGATTGAGATGGGATGTGATGTTGATCCTAGCAAAAGGAGGAACGATTTGTTCATTGGACTGAACTGGATGTAGGCATGAGCATTATTGTCATTGGTTTTGGAATCATATTTTCAGATGAATTGACAAGGGTATGTATATTCACGAGCGTTTGATGATATAAGGCGAAGATCAGGTGGGGATGTTAGTTTGACACTAGCAGGAGGCGAAGTTATGAAGAAGAGATAAAGCGGTGCTTGGACAAGATTTTATGTTGGCGGAGGCATTATTGTCATCAACTCTTAGAATGATATCGTCTGATGGATTGAATTGGATATGTATATTCATGAGCTATTGATGATATAGAGAAAGAATGAGGTAGAGATATGATATTGAGTGTAGCAGGAGAAAGAGTCATAGAGATGAGGTGGGGTGATGCTTGGCCAGTATTGAATTTTGTCGAGGGCACTATTGTCATTGGCTCTTGAAATGGTTTTGTCTGATGAATTGACATGTGTATTCAAATTCAGAATCGATTCATGAAACAGGACGGGGATTAGGTGGGGATGTGAGTTCGAGTATAGCAAAAGTTATGTACAAACGTCTTAATAAATTCATACAAAACTCAAAAATCCTTTGCCAGAATCAGCATAGATTCACTGCAGGAAGGTCAACAGTTTTTGCTATGTATTCAATACCCAAAGAAATAATAAAGTCGATCAATTAAATAAATCGAAAAATTGTTATCAACTGTGATTTGTTTGATGATATTCATTGCAGCTCCAAAGTTGTCATTGTTTGAGGTTATTGTGAAAAGTGTATGGAAAAGTGCATGAAAAGCTGAAAATTTCTTACTGTGAGGGCGTAACGAATTGAAAAGTATAATTTTATTAGCACTTGTTGGTTTTTAATATATTTAAAAGTTGGAAGAATGTGTTCTGTGTATCGAAATATCAAGAGAAGGTGACTGATTATCAGATTCAATTTCCATTAGGAATTCCATTCTGGAGTTGACAGAATTAAAAAAAAAACATTGAGCTGAGAGAGAGCGAGGATATCATCAACATATCGGAGTCAAGAAATAATTTTGCTTAAGTTAAGGTGCTGAGAAATGGTCAATTCGAAATTAGACGTAAACAAGGAGAAAGGTTTGAGCCCATGGATGAGCCTGATTTCTGACGATCAACTGAAGAGCAGATATCCAATATATTATTATGATGGGTGGGAAGGTCAGAATTATTCGAAAGTAATTGTCGGACAGAAAGTAAACAAGCATCAGGTTGAATGCTATGAAATTAATTTGAAACATCAAGATTTTCTTTGTCAATCCAGTGAATTTTCAACAAAAGAAGTTGAGGAATCTCTTGAGGTCAGAGAAAATTGAGCTTCGCCAGCCAGCTTATTTAGAGGCAGGAGAATTCATATAAGAGACTACGGGTTTGATGGGGATGTTCTGTTTGTGTGAACTTTAGAAAGCCGTACGATCTAGGAGTTGCAAGGTTCATAGTCGAAAGGTAAAATTCATTCGATTTCAAAAAAGTTATGGTGTCGTTTAGATCATTAGGAGTTTCCCTACAAGTAGCTCAAGATTCAACAGTATAATTGAATCTTATTCTAGAACAATCATCATTGGAAAGAAAAAGTTAAACTTTCAAATAATTTTATCAGTTCGATTCATGATGATTGAACAATTTCCTTTGTCAACTTTTGATAGTTCCATAATTTTTTGTAATCTGAGGAGTGGTTGGAAGAATGAAAATGGGAGTTCAAACAGACTGCAACCTCAGCACGCAGCGCATCTGTAATACTTGGATCAAATGACTCGATGACCCATTCAGATTCGATTGCAAGTATTTCTGAATGTAGAGGGTGAAGTTCGGTAGTAATGTTGAATCTCAAACCGTGTTGAGGTTGGTGTTCTTCATATTTGTCGAAATAAATATAAGGAAGAATAGGTGTTCTTTCATGAAAATTAAAATCTGAATATCTGTGAGACGTTATATAGGGAAAACTGTGTGAAGAAGATTGTTGAGCTTTCAAATTACGTATTACATGAATCGAATCATCCATTTCTTAGCACCCAGCACCGATATGTTCATGAAATTCTTGCTCTCTTCGAAGGTACCCTACTTGAACTCAATGATTCTCTTTTATAATTGAATTCTATAAATCCTAGAAGAAAATTCACGATGAAAATTTAATCCAATTATCAGTTAACTTTTCCTGATATTCTGCTATACAAAATCAAACTTTAGAAAACCAACAAGTACTGATAATATTATACCTTTCAATTCGTTCCACCTTTACAGCCAGAAATTTTCAGCTTTCCATAGACTCTTCACAATACCCTTGTACAATGACAAATGAAGAGCTGAATTGAATATCATTGGACCAATCGCAGTTATGGCAAATTTTCTATTCAGTTAATTGATCGATTTCACTCAAAATATGCCAATATATTTTCGAATGACTCTTCAACGCCGCCTGTTTCAACATCCAAATAGCTCTGTCTCCCTTCCTTTGGCTCTGTATTCCTTGAACTCAGCAAGATTCTGAAAAAAAAATTGATTATCGAATATATGGGTAATTCTATTTTCTCTCTCAAAACCACCAACACTTACGGGAGTGCCATAGTCAACACAAAAGATGAGATTCCCATTCTAGAAGAATCTGGTGTTTATGAATTGAATTGCAGAAATGATGATTGTGAAGTTTACTACATCGGTCAAACAGGGCGCAAGTACGGAACCAAAGTATCAGAGCACAATCGTATCATAGAAAATGATTTTGAGAAAGATTTTTCACAGTCCAATAATGTTATATTATCAATGACGACCACTCTTTCGATATCAATTTCAACATTGGAATTTCACGTGTCTGTGACGAAGGAAAAAAGAAATACCTCCTCGAAACCTTGTAAATCAATGAAGCTGTCGAAAACTCTTACCGCAACTGCTTCAATGAACATACTCAATTCGATTGTGTCATTCTGATGTTGGGTTTTGTCCTCAGCATCATTATTGTCAAGTGTCATTTTGCCGATTGTCATTTATGATAAGTTAAACTAAATCAAAAAATTCAGACTCACATGTTGGTGCTTTCAATTATTTTCTTTGAATCAAACAATCTTCGGAATTTGAGCTCATATAGAGCTGGTTATAGTGTTTGTCTCCTAACAGCTACATACCTGCACTATGAGCGGTTTGAAATAGTGTCCAAGATTATTTAAGTAATGTTGTTTTCCTCCGATTGGCAGCAAATATTAATTTTGCTGACACATATCAATCAGCAAAGTATTACTTTTCCTGCCTAGGCAGCAAAGTAGGTACTTTGCTGCCTAAGCAGCAAAGTGGTTACTTTGCTGATTGATCTGTATCAGCAAAATTAAAAATCCATAAATCGTTTATAATTTCCTTCATATTTCATCCGAGACTTCTCCGGCAACAAATTCAACTCTATATTTTTTGCCACCTCCCTTATTAATGGAGGTGTAAGTATACTTCCAGGTCGCTATTACTGTCCATCATATAATAATTCAAATATACCGATATTTCTTCGCACAACTGTCAGAAATTTCATGAATTGTCAAACCAACAACTGCGATTTCTATCAAATTTTATTTTGATTGAACACTATACAGGAAGAATA